CACCCCCTCACTCACTCACTCACACACACACACACCCACTCACTCACTCACACACACAATTACCCAGTTGCTGATTTACAGGGAAAAAAAAACAGGCTGATATCACACCAATTTTACAGCTTATTTTCAGTAGGGCAAAAATTCCAAATTCACTGGAAAACGTCAGAATTCCTAAAAATGCCTGATTTTGGCCCCTTTGTCAGAATCTCCTGATAAGCAGCGACACTCACAGAATGTGTTTTGTGCTGGGGGATTGTGGGATTGTGACCGCAGACGCAGGGGTGTGTGTTCAGAGGAAAGGAACCGCTGATGCCGTGAAGAAACGCTCAATACGAAGGTGCGTAATGATAGCAGATGTGCTGTTTGTTTGAGTTGGAAGCGGATCAATAACAGTGCGGTGTAATTCATGAGACGAAACAAAGACACACCCCCACAAACAAAACACTGAGACGAGATGATGATGGAGAAACAAATAAGAAAAAATATACTGGTGTTTCACCATTCAATAATTGTGAGTACAGTGCTGGTCAAAACTAGAGAAGTCTCTTCTGCTCACCATTTATTTGATCAAAAATACAGTAAAAATTGTGAAATATTATTACTATTCAAACTAGTTGTTTTCTATGTGAATATCTGTTAAACTGTAATGTATTTCTGTGATGTGCAGCTGTATTTTCAGCATTATTACTCCAGTCTTCAGTGTCACATGATCTTCAGAAATCATTCTAATAAGCTGATTTGCTGCTCAAGAAACATTTCTGATTATTATCAATGTTGGAAACAGTCGTGCTGCACAATATTTTTGTTGAAACTGTGGTATATTTTATTTTTCAGGATTCACAGATGAATAGAAAGTTCAAAAGAACAGCATTTATTTGAAATGGAAACATTTTGTAACATTAGAAATGTCTTTACTGTCACTTTTGATTAATTTAATGTATCACTGATGAATAAAAGTATCAATTCCTTCCTTTTTCAAAAAGTCTTTCTTACTCCAATCTGTTTTCAACATTGATTATTATTAAAATGATTTCTGAAGATCATGTGACACTGAAGACTGGAGTAATGATGCTGAAAATTCAGCTGCGCATCACAGAAATAAATTACAGTTTAACAGATATTCACATATTTCACAATTTTTACAGTATTATTTGATCATATCGATTATTATTAAAATGATTTCTGAAGATCATGTGACACTGAAGACTGGAGTAATGATGCTGAAAATTCAGCTGCGCATCACAGAAATAAATGACAGTTTAACAGATATTCACATAGAAAACAGCTGTTTTAAACTGAAATAATATTTCACAATTTTTACTGTATTATTTGATCATATCAAAGCAGATTTGGCGAGCAGAAGAGACTTCTTTCAGAAACATTACAAATCCAAACGGAGTAAATCCTGTTATTCCAGTGCATACGGTATGAAAGGGCCGAGACTAAATATAAGAGTATTTTCATTGTTTATTTATACTGTTCAGATTTACACGGCATTGAAAAAGAATCCAAATAATATTAACACACAAACCTCTATCTCAATCGGCCCAACCAAAGACAATAAACATGACAAACAATGCTGTGTCTGGAGGACGGCGGTCACTGTTTGCTCAGACGCTCTTCTGGTTCTTCTCTTTCGTCTCTCTTTCTCTCTGAATGAGCTGCTGCAGCTCAGCTTCCCAGACGCTCACCGTCTGCTGATATTCAGCGATATCTGCGTTTTCACAGGCTGCCAGCGTCTGCTGCGTCAGAGCCGATACGAGAGACTCCAGGCTCCTCGAGTCGATCCTGTCCTGGGACACGAGTCTCTCCTTCAGCTCCTACCAAAACATCCAGCTCACAAATTAACCCTGTAAAGCCTGACATATAGTATCTATAGTTGAAATGGAACAGCTTATTGAACCTTTAGAATAAAATATTTGCATATATGTGACCCTGGAGCACAAAACCAGTCATAAGGGTCAGTTTTTTTAAATTGAGATGTATGCATAATCTAAAAGCTGAATAATAAGCTTTCCATTGATGTATGGTTTGTTAGGATAGGACAATATTTGGCTGAGATACAACTATTTGAAAATCTGGAATCTGAGGGTGCAAAAAAATCTAAATATTGAGAAAATCATCTTTAAAGTTGTCCAAATTAAGTTCTTAGCAATGCATATTACTAATCAAAAATTAAGTTTTGATATATTTACGGTAGGAAATTTACAAAATATCCTCATGGAACATGATCTTTACTTAATATCCTAATGATTTTTGGCATAAAAGAAAAATTAATAATTTTGACCCATACAATGTATTGTTGGCTATTGCTACAAATATACCCCAGCGACTTAAGACTGCTTTTGTGCTCCAGGGTCACATATTTTTTATGTTTTTGTATCATATTTGCTCCATCAGGCTTTCAAGGCTCATATAGTCTGATATAGTGAGAATATGAAGGAAAACCAGCTTGATTTTATTCAGAGACTCAAACTAAGCAAAAATATGAATTTGCTGCAGATGCTGATATTTATGATGAGAGTTCGATGCTTGTAATGTAAATCAATCAGATCTTTATAACAGTACAGCAGATACTGACATAAAATGATCTAAATATCAGTGGTCGCTCTATATCTCCAGTAATCTGTCTCAGTAAGATGAGATTGAAATGATCCAAACATATAATGCAGTGATTGAGAGCTGAAGAAATAAAGGCTCCTCAGAAGATGTGAGATGTTCTGGAGGCTTGTGAAGATCATTCCTCCGCTGAGGAACAGTGAAAGTAAAGCTTCTGGAAACAAACGCTCCTCAAAAGATCCTGAGGATCAGATTTGAGACTCTAAAACATGATTGATGGAGAATCAAGTAAAGCTGAGCTGCTTCAGTCCAGTAAGTGTTCATCTGGAGATATTACTGCAGTTATTCTGACGCTTACTTGATCAAAATCAGTCAAGATTTGTAACAAAGTTTAGAAGGTGTTTATGTAAATGCATAAATGTTTAGTGCATTTAACGTAAGAAAAAGTAACCTTGAAGCGGTTGATGTACTCTGGTAGTTTCTGTGTCTCCAGCTCATCTTCCTCCTCCAGCGGTGTATCAGTGACGTTCTGTCCATCAGCGTTCACTGAGAGATCCTGCAATATCTTCTCCACATGATCCAGCTGAAAGCCAGAGATGCTTCAACCCTCAACAACTCAATCACACCGCATTACACATTCATTTTGCAGACGCGCTTAATCAAAGCGACTCTCAGTGCATTCAATATAAATGACATGCGATCACTGTGAATTAGAACTCATGACTAGCAAGTAGCAACATGCTCTTCTGGTTTTCAAAACATTTTGTAGAAATGTAGCATTGCATCAGTGTCTTAGCAATGGATGCTCTGCAGTGAATGGGTGCCGTCAGAATGAGAGTCCAAACAGCTGATAAAAACATCACAATAATCATCCACACTCCTCGGGATGATCACACTTTTTCACTGGAGGAAGAGTTATTATGGATTATGGACTCTGGGCTCTATGGTATTTAAGTTAAAAATGTCTTAATGCTGGATTAGTTTCAGCGTGTGTCTTCTCCAGATGTTAACTGATGGACTGGAGTGGTGTGGATTATTGTGATGTTTTTATCAGCTGTTTGGACTCTCATTCTGACGGCACCCATTCACTGCAGAGCATCCATTGCTGAGACACTGATGCAATGCTACATTTCTACAAATCTGATAAAGAGAAACTCATCCACACTCCTCGGATGATCCTGTGGGTGAGCACATTTTCATTTTTGGGTGAATTATTCTTTTAAACAACATTTTCACTACAGAATCCTGCAGTATCCCAGTATGAAGCCGTTTTATAACTTCTGTGCAGTGATCTCAAAGATTTACTTCAAAAACATTATTCATGTGGTTTCTCTTTAAACTTCTTCCTCAGACAAGATAAATATGTACCATGGTAAGACCTCATTATGGTCAATTAGTTATCTCTGTAAATACTCACAACTTCCTCAGATAACTTGATGTCTCTGAAGTCACACACAGCGTCCATGACAGCGAGGGCTCGCCCAAGATAACCAGAGGTCCAGATCAGGGGCATCTCGTGAAACACGGCGTGAATTCCTCTGGACAGCTCGACTTTACCTGGAGACACAATCGGAAGATGAGACTATCTGCTGTTCAGACGGAGAATTCTAGAATCTGAGGACGTGCAAAACGACATATTTGCAAAATAGTCCATGCGTTTCCTGAACTAGTTAACAAATCTGAACATAAAAATAAAAACCATTAAAAACCATTTTTGTTACTTAAAATAAAATAAAAATAAAGCTAGTTGCAAGGCAGGATTTTAATTTAGTTTAACTTCTTGTATTAAAATAACTAAAACTAAATAAAGATTAATAGAATCTGTAGAGACATATAAACATACAAAAAATACAAAAAATGTAACTAAAATTAAAATGGGAAAAATTGGAAGGGAAAACAAAAAAATTAAAACTGATTCCAAATATTAACATTTTATTAAAGGGGTCATGAACTGAGAAACCAAAATTCCCTTGATCTTTCGACGTAAAAGAAGTCATTGTACTACAAAAACATCCTGTAAGTTTCAGAACTCAAAAGTTTCTCGTTAGTCTAAAACAGCTTATATTAAAGGCAGTCTGTCAAAACTACTGCTTGTGGAATGTTCTACTCTATGATGTAAGATAGACTAGATAGACTAGACATCGCTGTATTACGATATTATCGCAGACGATATATATCGCACACCCCTAGTTTAGCCCCGCCCACCGATTCTTCATCGCTGCCCGTTTAGCCCCACCCACCGATTCTACATCGCTGCCCGTTTAGCCCCGCCCACCGATTCTACATCGCTGCCCATTTAGCCCCGCCCACCGATTCATGGCTGTAGAGTTTACGAGAGAGGCGAACGCAGGTCTACGCAGAAACCAAACCATAAAGATGCTCTGAAGACAACAAGATATTGTGCAGTGCCAAGTTGTAGAAAAACTGTGTTTGTGTTGCCTTCCTTCTGATCATAACGTTAGGAAAGAGTGAATGAACTTTATTTTTAATGAAGATCCAGACCGCATCAGTAAGAACTCGGTCCTTTGTTCACTTAATTTTACCGTCCATCTGTGAGGAATGAATGTACGCTGTCAAACATTCACAACTATTAGCCAATCACAGCAGTGGGCGTTTACTTCCGAGTCTACAATCCTCCACGCCTATTCAAACAGAGCATTCTGATGAGGGGGTCAAAAACAGGACAGAAAATAGCCTATTACTTCTAAATTATAATGTTTTTTGATGTAAAAATCTTGATAACATTATTAGAGGACCTCAGAGAACAGTACAAAATAAAAAACAGAGGCAGTTCATGACGCCTTTAACATAAAAACCAACATTTCTCATTTTAAATTTAGTTTAACCTGATGCACTAAAATACTAAAACTTTTTTATTTATACAAATTAATAAAATATGTATAGACAAACATATGAAAAATGCAAAAAAAAAAAAGACAACAAAATTACTAAAACTTTAGTTTAAAATGAAAAAGAAAAATATAAAGATTACATTTTTTTTTTAATATTTCTAAAAAGGGTAACAATATCTTGATGCTAAAACCACACTGTTTGGTGGAATTTTATTATTTTTAAAAATAATTTATTTAATAAATTTTTTATAAATTTTTCAGTTTTATAAACTATTATTTTATAGATTTATTTTTATAGATTTTTAATTACATATTTGAATGATAAAAAGGAAGAGTTGTAGATAATAGTCTCATATTGGCCTGATTAACCAAACTTTCCATAAAACAAACAAAACAAGCCCTGGCAATTAATAAAATAACCCGTATTGCTTTAATATAATCATTTTGAATCAGTTTTTATTTTTATATTTTCGATTTTTCATTTGCATCTTCCCTTCTATTGTTTTCCATTTAAATTTTAGTAATTTTAGTTTTAGTAATTTTATGTGTTTTTGTCATTTTAGTAGTCATTTGATTTGTTAATCGCAAACGATAAAACATTTCCAGTTGGTTTGTAAAGGTGTTTTTATGCATGTCTGGCCTGAGTCTTCATTGCATTTACACTGTTTTGTCCAGCGTGTGGTGTTTTGAGCACACACTTTGAAACAGTGAATCATTTAGCAAAGCAATTGGCTCAATTGATTCAAAGTTTCGAAAAGCTTCGTTTCTCCCATCACTAAGGCATACACACCAATAAGAGCCAATCCCAGAAGCCGAGCGCTGAAACCGACAGAGTTCTCCTGCTTCAGTCCAGCCAACATCAGAGACGCTCCCACGTTCCTCTCCTCCTGCCACTGAACATTTAGTCACCTTTATTTATATAGCTCTTTTAACTAGAGGTCGACCGATGTATCGGTTTTGCCGATTAATCGGCACCGACATTTGATTGCTGGAACTATCGGTTATCGGCAAAATTCAGACGCAGATTTTAAAATCCTGCCGCGCCACAGAGCGCCATTCACATAGTTTTCCATTAAATTACATTATATTTGTCCCGAATCGTTGTTAATGTACATAATGAATTGTGTATTGTGCATTTTCAGCGAAACGTTTGTCTTTCTGTGGCTCTAATAAAGTCTGTGTGCTTTATAGAGCTATATAATATAGGTCGCGCTTTCTCTTTCCGTTTGCTCCGTTTTTTTAAACACCGAATTTCAAACTCATCTATGCCTCATTGTTCATTCTTGAAGTAAACTTCTGTCCGTTTGGTGATTAAATAAACTGTTTTAGAGCGCTGCTCGAGTTGAACGTGACGCGTCCGGAGTGTGTGATACCGGCGAGTTCTCCTAGACTTTTATTTGGTTAGATAATCATCAAGTCTTCAAGAATAGAAGCAGTTAAAGCGTGAGAGTATACATACAATATCCATATGTATATAATTTTAAGGCTATGGCCTTTGTGTATATATTTAAAGATGTGCATCTTTAAGCATGACAGTTGAAATGAAATGGTAACACTTTAAAATAAGAGTCCATTTGTAACATTAAGATTAATGAAAACTGTGTAAGTATTGTTCCTTGTTACAGTGTGTTAACTTCAACATTTACTATTACTATTATTATTATTTTTACTACTACTACTAGTATGGTTCAGTACTGTTTTTGTTAATAAAGCACTATTTTAGTTTTTGTTCAGTATCAATTTTAAAACTATCGGTTAATTAATCGGTATCGGC